TGTTGTTGTTAAATTTAATTTTAAATTACTTTTGCACATCTTATAGTTTTAATAATTATTTATATCATTAATTAATTTATTTGTTTATTTTTTATATGCATGTCGAGAAATTACAAATTATTTCAAAAAAAAAAAAAAAAAAAATCAGAATGTATAATATAAAATGAAATATTTTTAAGTAAATTTGATAGGTATAAATTTGTTTTCTTTTTTTTTTGATTAGCTATTTTTATATTTTAGTTATAAAAGTAAAAATAAAAATGATGAAATTCAATTTTTTTTTTTCTTTTATAAAAATTTGATATATTCACAAAGTAATAAAAACAAAAATGAAATTTAATAGTATGTTGGTATCATTTACAAATCACATAAAACGATGTGAGAACAAATGAAACAAAATTGACGTAAATTAACAAAGAGAGAGAGAGAGAGAGAGAGGGAGAGGGAGAGAGGGAAAGAAAGAAGGGAAAAATTGGTTTCTTTTTTTGCTTTTATTTTTGTCATTTTCAAAGCAAAAAGAAAAAATATTTATTATAAGAAAATAATGAGCTTGAAGAGTGAATTTTATATGACTTTAATATAAAATATAATAAATAACTATTTTAAAAAAGAACAAAAAAAAAATTTTATAATGAAATTTTAATATTTTAGTTATATGTTATAGAAATTTTAATAAATATATTTTTGCTCTTTTCTTTTCTTTCGAAGATATTTTTGAAAATATTGAATTTTTCTCATAAATATTTTTTTAGAATGGATTAAACCGATAATTAATTAATATTTACTGCAAATGAAAACAAAAACTTTTTGCTTGCTGTTAAAATTTTTAATTCATAATTAATAAAAAAATAATCATTACATTTAAAAACTACTAATATATATGAAAAAAATATTTGAGATAAAAATCTTTACTAAATTATTGTAAAATTTTTGTAATTTTAAATTTTAAGTTAAAAAATTAATTTTTTAAATTAATTTATTTACATTTATTTATATTTAAATTAATTAATTAAATCAAAAAATTTTGAATTAACCAAGAAAAAAAAAAGAAAAATACTATCTGAACATTTTAATATTATTATGAATTGTTTTCTTTTTTTTTTTGACTAAAATTTTAAGCATAAATTTTCTTTTTTGTATAACATTTTTGCTTACAATCAGAAATGTCTTACTTATGCATTTTAAATAATTTTTTTTTTTTGGCTAAAATTTCAAACATACATTTTTTTATATAAAATTTTTGCATATTATATAATCAAATTATGATTTCAATTTTTGATAGTACTAGCAATTTAATTTTTTATTAAATTTTTCATCCTTTAATGAAATTATGATTATATTTTAGGAGTGCATAATCCATCGCCATATCTTCGTCGTTATCGCTTACCAGCAATTAATTCAAGTGCGACAGTTGCCGCTTACGATGATCTATTAAGCCCTATTGATAATTGCGCCAAATTAGCATTCATTTCGACGCTTAATTTTCAAAATAAGGTTTAGCAAAAGGATAAAATTCTTTTTAAATAATTTAAATTAAAAAATTAAATTTTTGATATGAAAATATTGAAAATTTGCGTACCATGTATGTGTAAGTTAAGAAATTATTTGATGAAAACTAATTTAAAATGATAATAATAAATAAAGGAAAAAAAATAAAAGTGTTAAAGAATAAAATTTGATATTTTTGAGAGGAAAAAATAAAACTGAAGATTAACAGTTTAAAATTTAACTTATGATTATGATTTTTATAATTTAATGAAAAGAATTTATAGAATATGACTGCGAGATCTGAGTGATTTTTTATAACTTTTATTTATATCAAAAAAGTGTGATAATAATTTTACATTAACTATAATTTAGATATTTTATTTGTTTACTATCCTAGTGTGATGCAGTAATTTGTAATTTTAATGCAAAAGTTAAATCCATTCTCTATTAATTCCTCTCAACTTTTCAAAAATTTTGTTTACGAAAAAATAGTTTTATTTTGTTTTTAATACTCGAAAATGACTATTATAATAAATATTGCATAAAATTACTGTTCAAATAGAATTGAAATTGGCAGTGTGAAAACACATTCCTTGCACATATTTTATTTTAATAATATATGAATTAACTCATATGTGAATTAATTTAAACAATTCATACATATGTGTATTTTTCATTTCTAATTTAAATTTCTTTAAATTTTCTGCCGATCACAGCTGATAATCCATATTCTAAATTATTATATTCTTATGCATTACTTAAAACTTCACTTTATTTATTCATAATTTGTTATTTATTCAGGCTATTTAAAAAGCAAGTAAGGTTATTTATTATCAATTTTTCAGTATTCAATAAAAAAAATTAGAAAATAATAAAAAAAATGAAAAAAATTTTTTGTGTTATTTTTATTTATATTTTATTTTTTGCTTTCTCAAAGCATATATTAAATAAAAATTAGAAGAAAAAATTATTCTTATAAAAATAAATAATGAAAGCAATTTTAAGAAATAGAATAAGATTTAGCAAAGTTTTGAAATATTGCAAATACTAAGTGCTAATGCATCTTATGAATAATCGCATATAACATTCATATTTTAATTCTATTATACTAATTAATTGTAATTAAAACTTTCAATTAATTATTTATACAAAAAATGATCTGTAATTGATCAAAATAATTTCTCTACTAATTTTTTTTTTTTTTTTTTAAGCAATTTTGTATTTCGAAACCAAATATACCACCAAATACCAGAATGATTGATGATAATAACATGGAGTTAAATTGCGACAAAACAAATTCTACTAGGACATCTGCCATTTCATATATGTTAGTCGTTTTTTCCTAAAACAATGGTATACTGTAATACAGTGAACAAGGGTGTACTGTAACTTACAGTAAAATGTTTAGCTTTATTATTATTCGTTCAATTCTTTCATATCTGAATTACGTATATTTGGTGAAGTTATACTACTTTATTCTACTTATTAATAGCTTCAAATAATAGCACCGTATGCAGCAATTTGATAAAGTTGTAATTGATTTATTAAATAGCAGTAGTAAATATATTAATTAAAATAAATACAACAATGAAAATAAGATATGTAAAAAAAGAGAAATATCGAATAGTTAGTTGGCATATTCTCGGTGAAATTTATTAAAAATTCACTCTTCTGCTTCTCATTGTACTTTTTATTTTCGGTATCGTAATCTTGTTTGGATACGGTAACTTCATTTTACTTTTTGCTACCGTAATTTGGTATCGTAACCACATTCTGTATTTATCATTGGTAAATGATAAAAATAAAATGAGAATGGTATATTTTGTTTAGTGATGACTGAAAAAAATGAAACTAATATTTTTTTTTTCTTCTTTTTCGTCATTTTATTTTTGGGATAAGCAATTGTAATAAATTAGAATAAGCACTTAATGGCTAATCATAATTAAAATCTTTGCACAAAAATTTTTTTTATTTTTATGTTTTTTGTTGCATGAAATAAAAAAGAAAAGAAGAAAAGTATATTAGTAAAAAGCTAAAAAAATTTTTTTTATTTTGTTTTCACAGTAAAAATATTTTGAAATATTATAGTAGCATATATCAAAGCATTTATTTTATCTCCTTTTTTGTCCTTTTTTTCTTTCTCCTAAAAAATTTTTTAAGCATAAATTTTAAATTTGAGCATAATAAATCCAAATGAGGAAAGAAATAAATGGAGATGAAATTTTGCTTGATGAAATTTTCATTCCATATGAAATTTATATAGGAAAATGAATGAATAGATGAGGGAGAAGGAAAGAGAAAGAAAGGAAACAATTTCATATTTTTTTAAAGTAATAGAATTTCAATACAATCAATATTTTGAAACTGGTAGTAGCTAAGTTGCTAACTTTTAGTTCTACTTTTAGTGATTCTTCATCACCCGATCAAGGTAATCCATTGACTAAATCAGCGATTGATTTTGAATTTCGATTTGTTGCAACGGAACTGGAAAAGAAATGTCATGAATACGATCGGATTGCCCAAATGACAAGTATGACAATAGGTAATACTACTAATGGAACACGGAAAAGTGATGAGAAAATGTTGTAAATATTTTGCGAATAAATATTGCTAAAATATGAAATAAAATTTATATTACTGGTAATTTACAAAGAGAGAATGATATAAATGATAAAAAATACAAATTGATTTGCATAAATTCTGATAATGGATATAAATTCTTCATTTTTATCACTTTTTTAATATTTCAAATCCGATATGGATTTATAAACATATTTGCAGTGCAAAAAAAGAACAAATTTTATATGATAGAAAAAAATAATAAAAAAAAAACAAAGAGGAAAAGACAAGGGAAAGAGGAATTGCATTAATTTAAAATGTTCACATTTATTTTTGTTTTTATTTTTTCAAAATAATAAATAAATGAACATAAAAAGAAAAAAAATTTTCCTGAATACAAAATGATAACTTCCTCTATTTCATGATTCTAAAATTGAAATTTTGGATGGAAATAAATCTTTGATAAGAATGGTTAAAGTAAAATTAGGGTTTGCTTCATTTTGAAATTATCATCAAATTTCATACTTCTTTATTTCCATTAAATCGTAAAAAATGCAATTATCATAAACAACATACATTTATCATTCGAAAATACCTAATAAGAGAAGAAAAAAAAATACTCGAATAATTTGTTTGTTTTCATTTACTTCATTATTTACAGAATTACTTATCAGTAATACTTTTTTAATGGTACAATTTTGCTCATTATGTCTTTTTTACCATTGTCTGATTAATGCATTGATAAAATTTAACTCAAATGCTTCATGATGAAGTGATAAGCAAATTTAGTGAAATTACATATGTAACAATCTTGACAAAATAATAGCAGTGTATGATAATCCTGATAATTTCAATCAAAATGATGCTTTAATATGGTTATCCTGATATATTATGATATCCTGATAAGTTTAAACTTTAAATGTTAAAATTTAATTTAATATCTAAAAATGATATCATCGTAATTTATCATTTTCAGCAATCATTTGACCAATATTACTGCTTATATTATATGTTGAAAAATATCTTTCCTTCAAATCAGTAGTTTTTTGTGCAGTAGCAGTGGAAAGTGGTTGATGTAAGGGTGATTTTCTAATTTTTGATTCAATATTTGTTGAAATGAATGATGCTCGAGTTGGTACTGGCGCTATTGTCGTTGGACAATGATCACGTTCATAGCATTCACGTGATTCATAACTTTTTCCTTGACATCCTTTTACAAGAAATGACGTTTCATAGTGACATACTCGTGTACGAATTTGTTTTCCACAAAAACATCGTTGCCAATTTGTCCATTCTGACCAATTTGATGCTAAAAAATTTGGAAAAAATAAATTTTAATTAAAAAAACAAACAAACAAACACATAAAAACAAAAGGAAAAAAAAAATATGAAATTTAATTATTTTATTGCGCTGAAAAATAAGAAAAAACATTTATTTATTTTTAAAAAAGAAAAAAATTTATTTTTTCAAAAATACGAATTGCATGATATTTAAATTATTTGATATTTATATAAGCTATTTCTATCATTGTTGTTAATACTTGTTATTATCATCTTATTATTAACCTACTGTTAATATTAACATTAAATACCTTATTATAACATATTACTCCTAATCATATTATGAAAAATATATAGATAAAATCATATAAATAAAAAAAAATATGAAATATGATAAAAAATATATGATTTGAAAATTTTAAGAAATAAAATTATTGTTGACATAAAATTTGCATTAGTTTAATTGTTGACATTTTAATGTTTTGTTGTCATTTATGAATGAAATAATCGAATTTTGATTTTTTCTTGTGATATCAGTATATTTAGCAGCTTATCAAATGTTAAAATTATTCAATGAATAGATGAATAAACTTTATTCATTTCATTTATTCCTTTGGGTTAATTTGAATTTTCCCAAATGTATTTGTAAGCAATCATTTGTTTATTATGCAAAATGTTAAATTATAATGAATCTCAAACATTTTAGCATAAAACATTCAAAAACATATATCAGACAAAAAAAATCAATAATTTTAAATTAAAAATATTTAGAAACTAACTAGCATTTTCATTCATTGAAACTAAAAATATTCGAGATTGATCAATAACCGTAGGCGCTGTTGTCGGCGTAAAAGTTGACGTTAATGGTCCTCTGGGTACTAAATTCAGATTCATCGCTTTCCAGTGTGATTCCATTTTATTATTATTTTCCTTATTTAACTCCTATAATTTAATTTTATTTATGTTTTTTTTTTTTTTTTTTTATTTTTAATTTTAATTTTCAAAATAACTTTTGTTTAAACATTCGTTTTTCGAATTTGCAAAAAAAAAAAAAATTGCAAATATTTGTGAAAAAAGAATGATTGACAAATAAAAAAAGAATATATTTTTATATTTTTCATCAATATTACATTTTTGTGAAACATTTATTAGTCAGTGAAATGCATAAACATTAATTTATTCAATTTTCCATTACTTCGGTAGTTTTTTTCAAACTTTTTGAGCTTTCCACATTTTTGTTTATTTCCTCCAATTCTATTTCAGTATTGCTTGATTCCTTAACGTATAAATTCTGAAATAAAAACAAAAACAAAAAAAGGAAGAAAGAAAGAAAGAAAAAAGGAAGAATTGAAATGAAGCTAATAATTGATATTATATAATTTTTCAGCACTTATATCTTATTAAATTAATTTATAATTTCACTAAATTAATTTAATTTCTTCCAGAAACTTTATATTAAAGGATGGATTACTTCAAAGCTAATAATCAGTGTACAAAAGTAAGTAATATAATGCTGTAGTAAGTGAGAAATATTTTTACATTCTGAATAAAGTAAAAGTAATTATAGCAGAAATAATAATAAACAATAATAATGAAAGCAATGATAACGATAATAGTAATAATAACAATAATATTAGTAATAATCATATGGATAGTAATAATGCCAATAATAATAACAGTGATAATTTCCCAATAATAATAGTAGTAGTAATAGTAATAATAATAATAGCATTGATAAATATTGCAGTAATAATTATTAAACGTTAGAATTTTGAAATTTAATCATATGCAAATTAACAATTACTTTTGATTAAATAGCAAAATTTGCTATGCTAAAACTAAATTATGGAAGAATGTGAAATGATAATTTGTATCAAAAATGAAAATACAATAATATCGGTGTAATTGTTATCATTGTTCAATTCTCATTATTTTTAGATAATATTGCTGATAATAATATGATTAACTATGATAAAATAGTACCATAGAATATGATAGATTTAATTAAGTATAAATATTGCTAAATATACAAATTAAAATTTCTATTTCTAATCAATACTGCAATTATTATTTATACCTTTTCCTCTTTTAATTTTGAGTTTGAATATTCAAATATAAATAATTCGAAGAAATATTAATATTCGAAAATTACTTAATTATTGGATAACTAGTAACTTTATTAGGTAATGATTTCTTTGTCGGTTGATCGATATTATCATTATTATTTCCATCATCATCATCGTCATCAGAGGACATCGCTTTCAATAATAAATCCAATGCTTTATCAGCAGCAGCTCTATCATTATCACTTGCCTATCACAAAATATTTTCATTTTTGTATACCATATTTTTAAAAATTTTTTAAAAAAATTTTTCACCAAAAAAATGAAGTTTTAAAAAAAAAAATTTACGCATGCAACAACAATGCTAATAGTTTATTTATTAACTTAATCGGAATTCAATACTGCAATACTTGTATTTGATATTATAATGTCTTGAAAAAAGAAATCATTGAATAATTGCTTATCTCTTCAACAAATTAAATTTTGATTTCCTTTCATAAATTTTTACTAAAAATAGTTGTTTAAACATGAAATTTAGTACTGCAATATTTTAAATAATTTAACTATTAAACTTTAAATATTTAATATATAATAATTAAACTCAAATTATGTCTTTGAAATTTTGTAACAATTATTATAAAAGAAAAAAAAAGTTCATATATCATTTTTATTCATACATTCATCCAAGAAATTGAAAATTATTTCAAAAATAGGAATCAAAATTTTAGAAATGAAAAAGTAATAATTATATTTACATTTTATAGTAATTCAAAAAAAAAAAATGATAAGATAATAAATGATAAGAGTGATTTACCTGATGAAAATTACCATTTTGTAATATTTTGCGTGATTGATCGGCAACGTATGTTTTTGATGCTGATGCTAATGCGTCTGATATTTTACGTGGCGCATATTTCAAATTGTTATTATCAGTGATAACATGTTCAGGTAGAATATCAAATGATGATAATCCTTGTTGATCTTCTTCTCTATTTCATGTTTCTTTGATGAATTATTTGATTTTTTATTTTTTTAAAACAATTTTTAAACAAACAATTTAAACAATTTTTTTTTTTTGTTCGTATTTTCGAAAAAAAAAATTTTTTTTTTATTTTTGTGAACATTTTTTTTTATTTTTTATAACAAAAATGATAACAAATAAAAGCAAAATAAAACAAACAAAAAAATTTTTTTTAAAAATGAATATTTAAATATACATCATTTTAAATAAAAATAAAACAAAAGTAAAATCCAAAAAATAAAGAATTAGGAAAATGGATATATATATATTACTTAGATAAATAAAAATACTAATAATTAATTATACTATTTCATCGTGATAATTAAAATATTAATTTAATAAAAGTAAATAATGAAAAAATTAACTTACAGTTGGTCGAATTTCTTTAATGATATTCCATAATTGGAAATTTTTGGTTTGATATTTACAGGATTTGAGTGAATTTTTAAACTTTTTAATCTTAACGTATTCGATTCCGGAAATGCAGATTGTGTTTTATCATCAGTAAATTCATTACGACGTATCATTGCTTCGCTCTTATCAATTGGTGTTAATGCTTTAGCAATTGGTATTGATATGGACGAATGATAATTTGATGGAATTTTCGCTTCAACTTTTGACATTTTCATTGTATTCGTTGTTGTTATTGGTATTGTTGTTGATAATGATGATATTTTATTCATTTCTGATATAAATGTTTTAGATTTAATCGAATTTAATAAATTATTACTAGTTGTTGTTGTTGTTGTGATAATATTAGGAAAGTTATCATTAGCATTGGTTGTCTCATGTGAAATCCATGTAGTAATACCAGGTGGCATCCATACTAAAACTTTTGATGGTATTGCTGCTGTGTTCATTTCATTATCATTAACTGATAAAATTGGTTCATTTTCATGTTCATCAATTAAAATTCGTTCTGTTGCTGTAAAAAGCACTGATCGTTCATTCTGATCAAATTGTGCTGATTTTGATCCATCCGACAAATGTGAAATTTGCGGTGACCGATGGACTGATTGCATAAGTGATGACTCAGATGCAACTGGTGATTGTCGTCTGATCGATGCTGGTACAGGTATTTGATCAAGTGATTCAGAAGGATGTTGCTTTTGTTGTTGTTGTTTATTAGTATTAGATGATAATGGCATATCAGTGGTAATTATAGCATTTGATAATGATGGTGATAATGATTGTCCTATTGTTTTAGTATTGAAATCTCGAGTAGTAGCTAATGTTGATGCTGAAATTTGTAGGAAAATTTATTTATTTTCTTTTTTTTAAATTCATTAATTTATTTACATTGTTTATGCATTTGCGTTCAAATTTGTTTAATTTTTCTGTTACTGCTATTTGTTATTGTTTTACTAAATTGGAAAAGCAAACATTTGCGAATAGTTAATAAAATAATTAATTGAAATAGACAAAATTTTTCATTTTAATTTTTAATTTTTTAAGAAATTTAAGTTTGTAATCAAAATTATGGCTTGAAAAACTGATCAAATTTTTAATAAAAGAACCAAAAAGACAAATTAATGAAAAAAGCTAAACAAAACAACAATAATTAATTTGTTGCCATACTAAAATTCTAAAATACACAATTCAAATCATTTCGTATTTGAATTAATAAATTAAACTGACTATAAATAAATAAATTAATCTCTCTGTTTTATTCTCTTATTATTTAATTTATAAATTAATAGCATAAAATTAATAATTAAAATAGTTTAAAAAATTTTTTCTTTGAAAAAAAAACGAATTTTATCTCTTAAATGAAATAAAAATTGAAAATAAATATTTTTGGCTAAAAAAAGATAAAATTAAAGTTTCTTTTTTTTTTTAAATGATTAACAATTGACATCGTAAATTAATAGCAAATAGGAGAAAAATTTTTAGAAATATTGTCAAACTAACTGATTTGTTTATCATTTAACACTGCTTCTTGCGTCATCGACTGATAATCATTATGAGATTCTTTTGTTGTTACTCTCACTAAAAAAAATAATTATCATTATCATTTATCACTTCAAACAATCATATTAATTGTGATCTAAATTTTTTTTTGTTTTACAAATTGCTAAATGTTTAAGTAAACCTTTTTGTTCTTTTCGTTCAAATTATTCTTTTTTATCTTTCCATTTTCATTTTATCATTCTCGAAAAAAAAACTTTTTTTTTTTAAAAACATAAATATTTTATGTCTATCATTTTTAATCAAATTTAAATAATTTTGATTAGAATTTGTAAACTTAAAAAATTCTATTAATATAATTTTGAGATAAAAGAAATTGATCATTTCTTTAATAATTATTTATATCACTTATAATTTTAGCCAATTAAATAGAATAAATATTTTTTTTTTCTCATTTCTTTTTCTTTTCTGTTTTTAACGAAAAGTTTTTGTTTTTGTTTTCTTTCTATCTTATTTTTAGATAATAAATTTTTTTTTGAAAAAATATTTTTTAGATTTATTTTAATGTAAAAACTAAAAAATAAATAAATTTAACTCTTATCTTTCTTTCTAATAATAATAAATAATTTTTGAAAATATATTTTTTCTAGATTTAATTTTGATGTAAAATTTATAGAAAATAATGAAACCTCGTTCACGTCGACGTATTTCTGATTCACGTGGAATAAATTTATTTTTATTCTCATCTGAATTCACTTTTTCTGATTGATCTGATGAATATTTATGAGAATAAAGTTGCTTCATAGCTTCTTTTCGATCTTCTTCCCATGGATCAACTGCCGTATAGTCGGATTCTTGTACTGCTGGTTGCATATAATCTAAGTCACATTCCATGAATTCCTTTAAAAAACAAAAAACCAAAAAATTATGCTAATTTAATTTTATATTGTAAATTATAAAATTAAAAAAAAAATTTTTTCAAAATAAAGTTTAAATTTCAAAAAAAAAAAAAATTATATTTGAAAACAGAAAACAAAGAAATTACATATGCAGACTGGATGAAAATTTTGGATTTTTTTTCTTTAAATTGATAATGTAGCATACAAATTACCTGCTTTTTACCAAGACATGAAAATCCTCGTACTGTATTACACGCACGTACACGTACACGTACCTTGTTCACGCAAAATGACCATGCTGACCATGATGCCCACACCGAACCATATACTAGAATTTGACTTATCTTTTACTAATTTATCCTTCACTGTTAACTATTTTTTTAAATGGAAATAAAATAAAAAATCGAAAAAAAAAAGGCTATTATCATTTTAAAATAAAATCTTTAAAGTAAAATTAGAACAGTAACTTTTAAAAATCAGAAAATTGATATATTCTGCTGTTAGATTATCCAGTATTAAATTTAGTTTAATAAATTATAAAAGAATAAAATCTGCAAATTTTTTATTTACAAACTAAAATAGTGTAATGCAATTATGTCTCTTGAATGATTGATTAAATTCTTGAATGACTAAACTCTTGAATGATGATTAAACTCTCGAACACAATAAAATTTTAATTTTTGGTTATCGTAATTTTCATAGAATATTTCAATCAATTAATTATTGTTTCAATTAGTAGCATAATTATTTGCCATTAATAAAGCGATGTTCAATTTGAATTCTGTTTTTTTACAGTTTAAAATTTTAAAATGTAAGAAAAGGATGTAAAAACACAGTTTACATCAATGCAAACATTTTGTTGCTAAAAATGAAATTTTTTAAAAAAAAAAACAAGAAAATAGGTCAAATTGTCGTTCCACTATTTTTGGCATAATGTATGTTTGCATGTGTGTAAATAAATATGTGTGGTGTGCGTGTACGTGTATATATGCCCAGGCGTGCGTGGACTACGTACGTACGTGTGTATGCGTATGTGTGTCCATTGTGCATCAATGCAAAACAATTTGTTGCTAAAAATTAAGCCAAAAAAAAGTGAATAAAATATTAATTAAATTTTTTTCCACTTATTGATTATTCGTAACAAATATTTGAATTTGGTCAAAAAAATAAAAAATGTTGCTAAATTTTTTTCAAAAAAATAAATAAAAAAAAAGGAAATAATAAATGAATAAAAATTTTTATATGAATCTTTTAAAACTTTCTTATAAGTATACACTTTTGTTTTTTGTTTTTTTCTTTCTACAATTTAAGTTTCTTTTTTCAAAAAAAGTTTTTCCAAAAAAAAAAAAAAATTTTTTTTGAAAAAGAATTTAAAAAAATTTTTGAAATCATTGTTTATTTTTTGCTCCAATGGAAAAAAGATATTAATTTATTAGTTCATATTATTAATTAATACTAAGTAACTGTGCATTTTCTTCTAAAATTAATTTACATTAGGTACTTACTAAATGGACCATTAGTTGGTGGTGGAGAATGTGGTGTTGCAAATCCGACAAACTGATTTAATTTACCGGTCCGATAATTAAACGGAAATTCTGTTACTTCATTGCCAAATACTACTAAAATTTACGTTTGACTAAAAAAGAAAAGAACGAAAGATAGAAAAAATTATTGTTTTTTGTTTTTTTAAGTAAAATATTAAAATTAAATTAAAATATTAAAATTAACAAAGTAACAAAATTAAATGAAATTATTATTATCCAAAAAAAAAAAATTTGGCAAACAAATAAGAAAAGAAAAACCATTTAAATAAGTGAAATTTTAAAAGAATAAAAAAATAAATTGCGAAAATATTACAAATTTTATAATTCCTTATTTTATACTTCAAAATTAATTATGTTTTGTTTTTCTTCAAAAATAATTTTTTAAGCTAAAATAGTATAACAGATATGATTAAAATATATTTTAATATTATTTGAGAATTATTAATTTTAGTCTACCTATAATAATTCGATCATAATTCAACGGTTGGATTAAATTTTAACTCATTTTTTTCAAAAAAACAAAAAAAATTTTCTTTTTGTAGAATTTCTTCTAATTTCATTTTAAAAAATTGTTTCAAATTAGGAGGCTATTTGTTAAGTTCCAATCAAAAAAAAAAATTTTTTTTGAAAGCTGATAATTATTTAAAACAAATGCAAAATTTAATAATAATAAAATAATAGTAGGAATATGATAATCATAATTTGAATCATTAAATTATATCTATTTTCTTTGTGATAAAGAATTTGTTTCAATGATTACAATGATATTAACATTGAATAATGAGTAAAAACTGCAGTAATTTAATCATAATATTATTAAAATATTTGTGAACATAATCACAATAATACAGTGAATGATATATGATATAAATAATCAAAAAAAAAAATTAATTCAATTTCAAATATATTTTAAATTTTAAATATTTTTAATTTCAGTACGTTTAAATCAAATGTTATTCAATGTTTTTTATTTTATCAATGATAAGATGTTTTTTTTTTTCACAATATTTAAAATTTATTAATTCAATTATTTGCAAATGTGATATAAAATTTTATAATACAAAATGATATGATATAAAATTTTATAATAAAAAATGATATGATATAAAATTTTATAATACAAAATGATATGATATAAAATTTTATAATAAAAAATGATATGATATAAAATTTTATAATACAAAATGATATGTATAAAAAAAAAACATTAGTTGAATGAATTTTATATTTCACTTTTCTTTATAAAACTCTTACAAATCATTTAAAAAAAAATGAAAATTTAAATACTTTCTAATCATATTGTGATAGCATTGATATTTGATAATTAGAAATATTTTATCAAAGCAAACCTTTAGCAAGTGATAAAAGAGTAAGCAATAATAATTGCTTAATTAAGAACGATATCATTCGATGTGATTTTTATTTACTTTTTTTTTCAAATCTGTTTATGTTCAATTATACTATCCAATCGTTCACGTTGATAACAAATACCTGATCAAAATAAATTTAAAAAACAACAAAAAAAAGAAACTATTTCAGATTACAAAACAAAAAAAAAAAAAAGAAACGAATCTTTAGCGACAATTGTGACAGCAATACTAATATAAAATAATAATGATAATAATGTAACTTTTTGATATTAATAAAATAAATGACAATTGAAGTGATGATTAAAAGTGGAAAATGAAATGCTTTTAGATGGTTAGGATTGAAAGATTAAAATTTATCAAGAATTTTCGAAAAGACAATTGGGTCACAGTTCACAATCATTAGGACAAAAGGAAGTCAATCATTATTATTTCAGTTTTGGGGGGGGGGGGGGGGGGGAACATAAAAAAATACCACTGTAAGTAATGAGAATGAGATGATGAAGAAATGAAAAGAGAGAGAGAGAGAGAGAGGGAGAGATAAAATTGAAATAAATTTTGATACAAAATTTTCGAAATAGAAAGATTAAAATTTTTGAAGTGGTAAAGTTAAATTGGATAGAAATTTGAACCATTTTCATTCAATCATCATTATCTCTTCTCTTCTTTTATTAATTCATTCTCTTCAACAATCTATCATATAACATAATTTTATTTTATCTTTTAAATCCTCTTATTTCCTCTTTCTCCTCTCTCTCTCTCCCTCTCTCTGTCTTTTTTCTTTTTTACTCTTTCTATCTCTTTCTTTTTACATTTTAAATTATTTCTCAAATCTTTCATACTTATCATTTTCTTTTGCCTCTTTTTATTTTCCTCTCATATCTAATAATTGATAATAATGATTTGATAATTATCACAATTAACGATAATTAGTAATTTCTAACAACAGAAAAAAACTTATTTACCTTATGAAATTGCATATTAACTTGTTTTTTTTTTTTTTCAATCGTTTTATTCTATATTTATGTCATTAAATTTATTCTCTAAAAAAAAAATTTCTTTTCTCTCTCTCTCTCTGTCTGTCTCTTTTCCCTTTCTTTTTGCATTCTTTCTTCCTATTCCTCTTTCATATCCTAAATCAATTCAAATACAAAGTTCTCATTTCAGTAAAATGAATGAAAAGAAATTTCGATGTGTATTTATCGATGATTTTGAAATTTTATCGAAGGATTTTACCATTTTATCATTCCTTTTTGAATTCCATAAATTTAACCGAAAAACTAATACAATTTAATCCATTTCGTTCAATAAATTTGTGCCAATTACTTAGTTTTAAAGAAATAAAATTAACAAATTATATTATATGTAAAAAATGTAAATTGTTTGTATTAGTTTTAATATTTTCATATTAAAATTTCAAGAAAAAAAATGAATAAATAAATTAAAATGATTGGTAAATAATTTAAAATTAAAAAAAAGAATCGCAAAATGTTGTGTAAATTTGAAGACTAAAATCAAATGTGAAAATTTTCATGTCAATATGTCAACAAGATGAAAAAAGAAAAAAAAAACATACATATTTATGCAAAATTTATTTAATATTTAAAATTTGAAAATTTGTTTATTGAAATTAAAAAGAAAATATTCATTTCAGTATTTCAGTAATATGCAATTATTTACAAAAATAAATTTACTAAGTACAAATTACAAAAATGCTTATATATCAAATAATATCAAATTTTTCTTCCTATCTTTTTAATTCTGTTAATTAGTATTTCGTTATTACTTTTTTTAAAAATATCATCAAAATAACAAAAAAATACTTTCTACAGACAATGAAATTAACAATTTGAATAAATAAAATCATAAATGAAAAAAATTTTTAAAATTTAATTAATTAAAACAAAATTGGTTTAAAGAAAAAAAAACTCTTTTTTTAAACAAAAATCATTTCCTTTTTATGTTTTATTCATTTATATTTCTACGCCTTTTTTTCTTTTATACTCATTTTTTAAAAAAAAAAAAAAAAAAAAAAAAATCACTTGTAAAATTGAAAAAAAAATTTTTTCAATTACGTTGAATTTTGACTATTTTAATTGGTTCAGGATTAATCTTCGGTCGTTTCAAATATGTCGCAGTAATTTCTTCTTCAATCATAAATGGATTTAAATTAACTAACTTTTCATTTTTATTTGCTTTAAAACAAATTTGCTTTTCAGTTTCAATTTTGTTTAATTCACAAATTGTTAACAAATTCATTTCAATTGTTGCATTATTATTATTATTATTATTATTGAAATTAGTACTATTAATAATCATTGTATCATTAGTAAATTGTGATGTTGATGATGATGATGATGATACTGCTGATGATAATGTTGATAACGGTGATAATGGTGATAATGGTGATACACACAAACGAAATCTTGTACGTTCATCATTCCTACATTTACTCCAATTACTCCATTCTTGCCAATTTGTTGACAACATTGAATCTGTAATTTAATCAGTAAAAGATTATTTATTAATTTTAGAATTAAAAAAAAAAAAAAAAAACAGAAAAATTGTTAATGAAATTTAATATGAATAAACTTCAAAAATAAGCATCAAAGTTTGAAAAAAAAATCATCAAGAAAACATAATAGATTTTAAAATTAAAAAAAAAAGTCATTAATGAAACTTAATAAACCTTCAAACTTTAAGATTTTAATTAAAGTAAACACAATACATTCAATACATTTTAATTATAGAAATTTGTGAATGCATTATTTAAAAAAAAAAAAAAAAACTGAAAACATTTATGTAATATGTAAAATGCAAATTTAAGAGAAACATAAAAAAAAAACAAAAATGGAATGAATGAATTAATAAATAGTAAATAGTCATCAATACTTAATGAAAAGTGCAAAAATTAGCAAAAAATAAAATTTGATAAAAATATCAAAATTTAAACAATCAGAAAAAAAATAGAGAAAATGAATTTAAACAACGATTAAATTTTCCCAAAAAAACAAAATTATATTTACCGTAAACAAGAAAATGCTCAAGAAAATTTAAAAACAAATATTATCACTGATATTTTCATTAATTCTAATTCCAAAATTATTTAATCATCCAATTAAAAAAAAAAGACAAAGTTCTTTAATACTTTAAAAAATTTATATTTGGTGCTATTATTATAATCAAATTTTTTTTTTTTTTTTTTTGAAATTATCTCATCGTTGTAAAACTTAAATTTTAAAATTTATAGTTTTTCTTTTTTTTAATCATACAAAGCTAAAAAAAAAGTTTAATAAATTCTCTTTCACATTTCTTTTTTTGCGTTTTTTCTGGCTTATTTTTTTTAAAATTTAATTTAAAAAATATATTACAAAATATATATTAAGTTAATGAACGATTGTTAAAAGAAAAAATAAAGAATTTTAAAAGAAATTAGAGACTTAGAAGAGATTATTTGACTATAATTAATATCTAATGATAAGAAAATTGAAACAGACAAAGCTTGAAAAGAACATTTTAAAATTTCTTACTTTAATATTAAAATCTTTTCTCTCCAATTTTTTTTTCTTTTTTCATTAATCTATAAGCCTTCGCCTATATTATTGAAAATTTTATTAAAATTCTAGCTATTATCAAAAATTTAAAAAACAAAAAAAGAAAAAACGAAATACTAATAAAAAACTTTTTTTTGTTACTTTAAATTAGATACTACAAATTTAGTATCATTAATGAGTTAAACTATTTTAAAATTAATTTCAAAAATCATTTCAATATTTTCAGAACACCATATCGAATAGTCAGTGATTATTTTCGTTTACTTTTATATTTACATATTTTTTAAAAATAAAGCATAGCATTTTCAATTTATTGCTATCGTTTTTAAAAAATAAATTATCAAATTAAAAATTTTTTATGATTATCATTTTTTATTAAAATTAAATAAATAAAGAAAAATTTTGCAACAATTCGGTTTATGTTTTTAATTAATTGATATTTTCTTAATTATTAAACCACCGATTAATTTATCTTTGTTATTTTAAACAAAAAAAATTTCGTCAGTCAATTCAAAAAAAAAATTTTCCTGAATGAAAAATAAAAAAATATAATATTTAAAAGTATGATAACAAACATTCTCATTTTTTTTTCTTTTAAAATCAAACAGATATAGGCTTAAATAAAAGCTCACTATCATATTTAATTTTGAGATTAAAATTTTTTAATTTAAAATTTAGTTTTTCAAGATTAGATTTAATTAATTAAAATGGATGCAATTATATCAGAAATGGAAATAATAAAATTTTGATTTAATTTTTTTCTTATATCTATAAAAATGAAAAATTGTTTGATTTTACTTAAAAAATTGATAAAATAATTTATTTCTAAATTAGTATTATTTCTATATTATACCATAGGATCGGAATGAGAATCAATCAATTCCTGAAATAATTTGTGATCCGGTTTTCCTGTAGAAATTTGTTCTTTTATGATAGAAAATTAATTTAACCTTTTTTATTTTTCTTTTGAAGTCAAATTTTCCTTTTCGCTGGAATAAATAACTTAAAAACAACTTAACAAATTGTTACTTATAATTTAAAAAACAAAATTTTTTTTATTTTATAAATATATTTTTAAAAAAAATAAAATATTTCTTATTTATTTAAAATGAATAAATAAATTGCATATAAAAATTAATTAATTAATTTTATCATTTATAATTTATTCTCGCCATCTTGTTTTCTTCTTCTTTTTTCTTTTGATGCAAAATTTTTCGAAATGAAATTTAATTGACTTGTTATTCGATTGTTGTTGTTGTTGTTTATGACAAAGAAATGAAATGTGCTTTAATCATATTATCAACATTTTAATGAATTTAATTTTTTTATTGCTGCAACAATTTCTTTAATTTTATCTTTTTTCCCTTCCTAATTGTTTTTTTCAACTTTTAAATTTTGATATTTCATTTTTTTTTTTTAAAAAAAAGATTTTTTCCTTCAATTTACATTGAAATTAGAATGATTTTTTGTGACAATGATTGAAATGAAAATTAAAATTTGTTACATCCAAAAAAAAAACAATTGCCAAAAATTTGAATGAATAATATTGAATATATGACAATCATTTTTCACATTTCACTTTTTTTTTTTCATAAAGTGCGAAAGAGATATTTTTAAATTAGTAAATTTGAAAATTTTTTTTGTTTAAAATTTTATTATCCTTTGCGCATCGCTTTTTCATATTTTTCGAAGAAAAAAAAACCAAAATTTCTCTTTCCATCATTATATTTAGGACATTTGGTAATTTTTTTAATTTTTATTCATTTCTAAATTTTTTTTTTCCTTAAATTTTACAAACAAACAAAAAAACGAAAAAAAGATTTGTAATTTTTAAACATTAATTATTTTTTTTTGCCATTTTATGTTTTCATAACTTTTCTCAAAACATTCATTTTAATTTCTGCAAAATTTCTTCTCAACAAATTTTATAAAACATTTAAATTTATTTCGGTAATTATATATGTTTACACAATTAAAATGCATATAACAAAGGATTATTGAAATATTTAATTAATTTCACAAAGAATTAAAATTATTTTAAATTGTTAGCAACGATTTAAATTATATGTTAATAATTAAAATGATAATAACATTAATAAAAAGAATTAAATATAATTGAATAATCTTAATGATTCAAATCTGCATGCATGCAAACACGCATGCATGCATTTGTGCATGCAAGAAAAGATAATCTATTTTTTTTTCCTTTTCAGTTGTTGAAAATATTTTTTTAAAAAAAAATTCGCACTATTAAATTTTTTTTTCTCGATTAAAATTGTCAAATTATTTCGTGAAAAAGCAAAATATCATTTTTGAACAAAAAAAATTTTATTAAATACATTTTAGTTATATAATATTATTAAATATGCTTAAATATTTAAATAAGTTTATAATAAAATGAAATTTAATAAATTACAATTATGCTTTTAAATTTTTTTTTAAAAACAATTTAAAACTTTTCTTTATTTTTTGATGTTAAATTTTAACAAATGCAAAATATTCACGAATGTTTTCCATTTTTCTTTTCTCAATTATATTTTCCCTTAAAAAAAAAAAAAAAAAAAAAATAAATAAATAAAAATATTTGAAGTGTTGTTTACATAAACAATTTGCCAAAGAATAGCAAAATTTGTTTTCTTATTTTGAATTGTATTATTTAATTATTTCGTTGCTTTTACTGCAAATCAATTTCATTCGATACACATTTATATTTTCAAGTTTTTATTAAATTAAGGCTATCCGATATTTTCTGATTTATTTCATTGCAATAAATTTCATTCAGTAAATATTTTAAGTATAATAATAAAGAAAAAAATTATTCATTTTATTGTTTTATTGACATTTTATCAACTATTTCACTTTTTCTTTTTTTATTTACATCATAACTTTTCTTTTTAATTTCAATTTTATTCTTTCTCTCTTTATCGTTTTTTCATCCTTTTCTTTTGTTTTCTCTTTTTTTTTTCTCTCTTTAATTTCATTTTTTATTAAAATAACATAATATTTTAAAATAAATAATAATAAAATTTAAATAATTTTACTGATTCAAAATGTATAATAAAAAACAAAATTTAAATTTTACTGGCAAAAAAATAAAAATTTACTGATTCAATCAAAGATAATTTTATTTTCTGAAATAAATGTAAAAATTTATTTATAAAAATTCAAAATCCATACTAATATTTGAAATTATATTAATTATTGTATATTAAAATTAAAAATTTTTTGCTAAAAATTAGTAAATTATGAAATCGCATTAACATTGAAAGTTTTTAAATATTTTTAGACATTTAAATATTTCAAAATATAAATTAAATTTAATAAATAGCAATGCTAAAAATAGAAAAAAGAAGAAAAGTTTTTTTAATTTTTCTTATATTTTTATGTTTATTTGTTTGTTTGTTTGTTTTTTAAATCATTTCTAACATTACTTTTTATTATCGTTAAAAGCATAAAAATGTAAAAATATGAATTATAACAATGATAATTTCTTTTATCTCTAATCACTCCTGATAATTCTTATCAGCAAAACTTCTCTTATTCATTTTTACGACTAATTTTTATTGTTACTGTTTGTTTTGCTACTATTGATTTATCATTGCTATAATTATCAGTGGTGTTATTCTTATCACTAACGTTATCAGTGGTTAAAATTATATTTTTGAGTGTTCGCTATTTATTTCTTCAATATTTTAAAATATATTTTTAATTCTTATTTTTTTCTTCTTATTTTATTTATCATTTTTTTGAACATTTCACTATATATAACATTTATTTATTTACTTATTAACCTACTTTTTCATTTCCCCTCTCTCCCTCCCTCTATCCCTCTCTCTCTCTCCCTCTCTCCATATTTTTCTCTTTCTCAAATTTGAAAATAAAAATATTTAAATCATAATTTTTAGCATTTTTTTTTGTTTTTTTTTTATATAAGATACAAAAATATTGTATAGTAAATGTGAAAAAAAAAACGAAAAGAAATTTTTTAAATTTTCATTTTAATAAAATTTTCTCACAAAATATTTTTGTAAATTTTAGAAAATAATTATGTTTCCATTATTTGCATAAACTTTGCTAAATATTTGAATATATTTATAATTGTTTTTTTTCCATTCTCTATATTAGTTTTTTTAAACTCTTATTACACTCATTAGACGCAACACTAATTAATTAATTTAAAACATTTAATTTCTACAAAAATAGAAAATAGAAATTTTAATAGATTGATATGATAAAGATGTGACAAATGTTCCAATCATGGTGATATAATTAATTGTAAATATACTTCTGATAAATGTTTTGTGATAACCATTTCTTAATTTCGAATTTCAGCAATTTCAATAATTCAATAATTGATAATTTCAGTAATTGCAATTAAGAAACGATTAAAATAATTGTGAATACTCTTTGATAATGATAATGATTTTTTTAATTTCATGATAATGATTTTTAATTTCAATAATTAATTAATGAATAGTAATTAAATAATTATTTGTAGAAATGATAAGTATGATAAATTTTAAAATATAATCAAAATAACAAAAAGAAAGAAGAAAAAACAGAACAAAAAATCAATATAAACGTTAAAAAAGAAAGAAAAATTATTGGAATAAAATGATTTGTTTAATTTTAGACATTTTTCTTTCTTTTTCTTTCTTTTTTTTTTTTTTTGTATTACTTTAAAATTTGAAATTTAATATGAAAATAGCATACGAAAATTTCCACTGATTTGTTGAAGTGATTTTGCACTTGCAATAGGCGAATATATTTCCATTTGATGAATTTGCGTCTCATTTTTGTCACTTTCCTAAAATTAAAAATAAACAAACAAATAAAATTTCATACATTTTACAAACATTTCTTCTTATAAGTATTTTATTTTATGTAAATTCATTACATGTATTTAATTTATATTAAATTAATTCAAAATATTATTAGTTTAAAATTATTACTGTGAAAAAAAAAAATAAATTTTTTTTTTTTGAAAGAAATAAATATGAGTGCAACTTTAAGTAAGTAAAAAATAAAAAAACTTATTATGAAGTTGAAATATAAGATAAAACATAATAATATATACAATTAGCTAATTAACATTTTCTTTCAAAAAAAAAAAAAAAAAAAAGGAAAAAAGAAAGAAATTCTTTTAATGCAATTAAAAAATTCAAAATATTATTAAAACTAAAATTATTACTGAAAAAAAAAATTAAATATAAACATATTATAGAATTAAAAAGATAAGATAAAATACGATAATCTGAGTTAATTAAGATTTTCATTCAACAAAAAAATTAATAAATAAAATGAAAAAAAAAAATTCTTTTAAACTAATTGTTTTAACAAAATAATTCATTTTAATATGCAAATTACTTTACATTCTTTATTCATAATTTTTTTTTTTTAATTTAAAAAAAAAATTTTTTTTTTCATTGATTATTTTTTAATCTTTTTTTTTTCATTTTTTTTTTAAAAAAAAAAAAACTAAATGCATTGATGTTATATTTGTTAGCTAATGCTTGCATTTACGGATGAATAATTCTCTAATTTTTTTTTTTTTCTTCTATTTCACTAAAAATGTTTTAAAAATTTGAAAAAAGAAAGAGAAGAGAGGGGAAGGGAAGAGAAGAAGAGAGATGAAAGAAATAAAATGTATTTATTTAGAATGAAAATGGAAAGAAAGAAAAAAAGGAAACAAAAATAGAACTTTTTTCTTTTTTTGTTGAAAAAAAAAAGTGCAAAAATAAAAATGAAAATTTCAGCTTTTAACAATTTGTTATTCACTAATAACTATTTCCTTTCATTCGTTTTTTTTTTTTTTTTCCTAAGTTAAAATTGTTAAAGAGCAAATAAAAAAAAAAAGAAAAATTTTAAAAAATATATAAGTTTTTCAGTTTTATATTTTTCATTGTTTTTTAAAATTTAAATACTTTGTAGAAGAAAAAAAAAACAAAGATGAAAAAATGATTTAAGATAATTTTGATGAAAATGATGATAAGTGATAATGATAAAGCTAATTTAAAATTGATTATTTGTTTAAATGTAACAAATTCATATATGTCTAATTATGGTTTATTATAATTAAGTTTTGAATATTATAATGATTAAGCATAAATTACAATTAAACAAAAAAGTTCAAATATGAGACGTTAAATTGAAATCAATTACTTAAATGTAGATAGCATTTAAAGAATAAACAATTAATTAATTAAAAGCAACATATATGCAAATTTAATTCTACAAATGAATTTCATTATAAGAGCAACTACTAATCATAATTAAATATTAATTAATGCAGTACATTAATTATTATTAATTGGAAATGTATTAATAGAATAATAATTATTTTTTCTAATTAATATATTAAGAAAACGATTAAAACCTGCTAACTAAATAATCTTTATGCTATCAATTAAATTTGAAAAAACGAAAAATGAAATTAAAAGTTAATTAAGTTTATTTTATTAATACTTTAATACTTTTTATCGATTGTGCGAATATGTATAATTGGCAAACTAATAAAATATGTTATTTTTAAGAAATTATTAGTGTAATTTGAAAATTTAATTAATATCATAAAATGGTAATTTTAATCAAATTATTGACATAATTTGAAAACTTAATTAATATTAGAAGAACTGTTTAAAAAATCTTTAAAAAATGTAGGTAATTGAACGAGTAGCTAAGGAAAAGAAAGAAAAAATGAAAAGTAGAAATGATGAAAGAAAAAAAATGAATAAATTTATTCAACAAATTGATTATTTAGTAAATTTCTGTTATTTTTCAAAAATTAATAAATTTATAATTTAAAAAAAAAAATCTAAAAATTCAAATAACAATTTAATAAAACTTACATTTGTATCAATAATAATTTCTATTGATGACTTTTTTGTTGGTGATCCATGTGCTGTAATTATGAAAATTTTTTTACTAAATTTTTTTTACTAAAAAAAGCTTTTAAAAACCAAAATATATGTTAAAATGATAATTTATAAAACATTTAAATGTTTAATAAATTTTTTGCTCAGCAAAGTTCAATTGTTTATAATTTTCAGATTGTTATCATAAATTTGATAATTGTTAAGACAACTAAAATAAAAGAAAAAAAAATAAATATAAATAAACTAAAAGAAAAAAAGAATGATTTATCAGCAATATAAACTGTGAAAAATTATCAGTAAAACGTAGTCATTATCATTTGTCCATTGTATTCTATACTATTCCTTTATCACTGATAACACTGTTTATACGTGATCCTTATCACTAGCATTAATTGATTGTTACGAATAGCAGTATTATCAGTAATCTGTCATTGCTTATCATTGTCATAGTCAATTTCCTACTATTATCATTATTATTACTATTATTACCGTGAAGTATAAATGTTATCATTAATAACTTAATTCTTATCAATTATTACTTTAATTGTTACTCTTTTTATCTTTCCCTTTTTTTCGTGAATTTTGGTTTCGTTTTTTTTTAAAATTCAAATACGATGGTTAATAGGAAAAATAAAATTGATTTTTGCTTTTCATTTGGAAGAATATCGGAACAAAAAATTCTATACTAGTTGTAAAATTTAAAAAATAAAAAAAAAAAAAATAACGAAAATAAAATCTAAACACATCCGTTTTCCGGAGAAGAAAAACGGTTGTAAAATATTAATTCGCTCTCATAAATAATTACGTCGATCATAAAATATTTTCAATATAAATCTTTTCTGAAGCTAACAAAAAAATAAAACCAAAAATTGAAAGACTGGCAGAGAGGAATAAATGCAATTACTTTCTTATCTTTTCTTTTATTTTGCTTATTTATTTTTTTATTTAGTTAATAATTTCTTATTTAATTATTTTTAATTAAAAATAATTAAATTTGAAAAAGTGCGAAAAAAAATTTTAATCATAAAATCAACAAAACAAACAAAAAATTAGCATATCGATTATTTATTCTTTCTTTCTCACTTTCCCTTTTCAATTACTATTATTATTATATTAATTACTACTACTCTTAATATTTTTATTAAAAATACCAGGAAAAATTCATTAAAATCTGTTAAAATTAATTTGCTAAACGAGAAAAAAAATTTTTTTTTTTTTAATTAAAAAATAAAAAAATTGACAAATATGCTATCAAATATTATATAATATTTCATTAATTTTCACATTTTAGAAATTAATTCCATTTGATGAAATAAATTTCATTCGCTTCATTCATCTGAAAAATTTATAAAAAAGAAAAAAGAAAAAAAAAATTTTTTATTTCTAATATTTTCTTTTAGGTATTTAGTGCAAAGATGCATTTTCATATTTTAATGACTCACTTTAGGCCTAAATATCTTTCATCATTTTGCGCCGCGCTGCTCTATTTACCGCCTACTTTTAACTTTTTTCTTTTAGCATCATACAATCAAATTTTGAATGTTTCTTTTATTATATAATATATTCCAATTTTCATTTCATCTATTTTAACTGTGTGAATATAAAATCTATTAGTATTTATATTTATGATTAATTGAGTTCTGTTCTAAAATTTTCAATATCTATCACATTTTTATCTCATTTAAATTTAATTATTAATCATTTAGCAATTAAATTTGTCCTTGTTTTCTTTTTTTTTTTGTTAAAAATTTAAAAAAAAAAATTATTTTTTTTTTCATTTGCTTTACGCATATTATGTATTTCATAAAAAAAAAAAAGAAGAATATCTAATTCGTATTTAATTACTATTTTAAATATTTAATTAATATTTGACGTAATAAACGAATTCCATTTTCATACGCTCATATTATTATTATTATTATTTTAGTTATAGTTTAACTTTTCCTTTTCCATACTTTTCATTTCATTTCCGAATTTCACATCCGTTTTAGCTACTATATTTAAAAAATTTTCCGAATTTATAGGAGAATTTTATTTGTAGCAGTAAAACAAAACAAAAAAAGTTTTTCTAATAAATAATTATAGTAATTCAAATATTTTAATTTCTAATTTCTAATATTATTTCTTCATAGCATACATGTATATTTGTTAAAATTAATGTGAAATTTATCATTTTTTTTAATCAAAAATTCTTTTATTTAATTATTAATTGAAATGTTGAAAAGATTTTACACTTTTCATTCAAAAGTTAAAAAATGAATGTTAGAAATAATTTAAAATTTTTTTAGCTAAAAAATGAAAAAAATGAAAAAAAAAACAGAAATTAATTAATTTATAGCACTCTTTGCAGACAATAATTAATGACATCCAATTATTATCATTTTTTTATTATTATTTTTTCATTCTTATATTGGATTATCATTCAATTTCATTATTATTTATTAATTAAAACTAAAAGCTTTTAAAATAATTAAAAAAAAAAAAAATTCATAAATGGACAATCTAAAAGTTTTATAAGAAAAATTTCTTTTTCTTCTATTTTTTTTTTTTGATAATAATAATAAAGAAATAAATTCAAAAGATGAAAAATAATTTCATTTTATGGAAAGTTTTTTTCCATTTTTTTTTTTTTTTTTTTAAAATAAGAATTTAAATTTATTACATAAAAAGAAAACGAAAAAAAAAGAATTATGAAAAGAAGCAAATGTGTTGATTTTCTAGAAATTACCATAAAAAGCATTCAAAATACCACCCAAATAATTTCTTCTCACATTGTTTTGATTTAAAAATTATTAATTAATAAATTTAATTCATCAAAATTCTTTAAGTAATTCGAATAAATTAAAGAAAAAAGAAACGATTTATCAGTTTCTTAAGATTTTGAAAAGAAAAAAAAAAT